GAGCTCCAGGAATATTCAGCAATTCAGGTGAAGCCGAACCCCAGAGGCATGATGCCTAGTGGGACCCCCTTGGGCTCTGCCACTTATTTGCTGCCCTATAGCTGGGTCGAAGCATTTATATTCTCTGAGCTTCAGTTTCCTCCCCTGTGAAGGAGGACTAATACACTCCTGACAGTGTTGTTGTGTGGGAGGTATTACCTAGTGTGGGTCCTAGCACATACAGAACGTTCAAAAACTACTGATGATGATGAAGATGGTGACGACGACAATGGTAATGATGATGATGCTCTCTACCTAACTTATGCCATCCTACCAACTTCCTGACCCTAAAGCCCTGTTGCAAACTCTGTCCTTTTAATCCATTACCCCATGCATAAGCTCCAGCAATGGCAAGATATAAAAGGAACAATTTATCTTACGGTTGGCAGTTCCTACTGTCATCCCTCTGGTAGCCCGGCAGGCACACACAGTCAGGGGTCCCATCGCTCTTCACCACGCATTGCATATTGTGTTCTGCCTTGCAGGTATCAGCACACTTCGGACCTAACGCTTCAGAACAGAGTGATTTCTGGGTGATTTTCAGAAACAACCTCTTGAGCCCCAAAGTGATATGTCACAAAATACAATTTTTCCACATTTCTTTTTCTAGGCAAAATGAGGTGCTCACTGGCTGTGCACATGATGTGCCCCCCATGAAGCTACCCATGGGCTGCGACCCCAGCTCACAGCCAATGCCACACTTCAGGGTTGTATGTCTAAAGCCAAAATTCATATCCCTTCGGATCTGAAATGCACCTGGACTCTTGAGCAGTATGTTTGTATTTTGCAAATGTGAGAGGAGAGAGGGTAGGGGTTGTGAAGGCCATTTAGAAGCAGGTGGAGCACTTACCAATACACACAGCAGTTTGTGGGTTGGGCCTTTCCAGCCCCTCTTTGCATTGGCACAGAAAACCATCGCTGCAGTCATCATTATTCTTCACACAACCATAAAACTCACACCGATCTTGCTCTGAGGGTTGCAAATAATTCAAAGATATATTCAGTAAGACAGTATGGATAAAGCAACATGTGAAAGCCTCCCCCGCCTTGTTGTTATAATGTCCTTTGAATAAGTTTGGGGATTTAACAAATGAAAATTTGGGATTCTAAATCCCAATTTTCTCTTCCATGACTATTTCCTTACATTATTCAATTCAAATTAATTCAATCCAAAGCAGTGCAATTATGTTCAAATTCAAGATCTCTTCTGCGCCTACTCTATGCTGGGTTCCACAAGGGACTTTGTAGCTATATAACTTTTGGGTCCCATCTTTGTAGAGTTACATGTTTGAACCCATAGCAACTCCTAGTCCAGACTTTAAGTACAACGGGAATTAGGGGTTCAGGTAGTAAAGGTGACATCATGGAGGAGGTGGGAATTGGGTTGTCTTGAAAGACAGGGAAGATCTGAACAGTCTAAGGAGGCAAAGTCTGTCTAAGTAAACAAGGCAAGAAAAGAAGCAAAGAATTCTTGTCAGGGCATAGTGGTGTATTTGGGTAGGGGAAAGACAGGATGGTAAAAGTGGAAGAAAATAGAAAATTCTTGGCGGTGCCATTTATTGGCTATGGGCTCTCTTTGTTCAGTCATTTGATTTTTGGTGGGTCCTTCCCTCCATCTATAAAATAGGGCCAGTAGCCTAGCCAGTGTGGCTCAGTGAATTGAGCATAGTCCCATGGACTGAGAGGTCCTGGTTCGATTCCCAGCCGGGGCATGTGCCCAGATTTCAGGCTCAATCCCCAGTGGAGGGTGTGCAGGAGGCAGCTGGTTGATGTATCTCTCTCACATTGATGTTTCTCTCTCTCTCTCTCTCTGTAAAAAATCAATAAAAACATATTTTTAAAAAAGTACAAATTAGCAGTTATAAAAAATAGTCACACAGATATAAAATACAACATAGGGAATACAGTCAATAATATTATAATAACTATGCATGGTGTCAGATGGGTACTAGACTTATCAGGGTAATCGCTTTGTAAGTTATATAAGTGTCTAATCACTATGTATAACAATATAATATTGTATGTCAACTGTAATTGAAAAATAAATTTTAAAAACATGTTAGGAAAACAATATGGTGTTTCCTCAAAAAATCAAAAATTGAACTGCCATTTGACCCAGTGATCCCACTTCTAGGAATATATCCTAAGAAGCCTGAAACACCAATCAGAATGAATATATGTACCCTTATGTTCTTAGCAGTACTATTTATAATTGCTAAGATCTGGAAACAGCCCAAATGTCCATCAATAGGTGAGTGGATAAAAAAGCTGTGGTCATATACACAATGGAGTACTATGAAGCTGTAAGAAAGAAAAATCTCACCCTGGCCGGTTTGGCTCAGCGGTTAGAGCGTCGGCCTGCGGTCCTGAGAGACCCGGGTTCGGTTCCCGCTAAGGGCATGTACCTCGGTTGCAGTTTGTCCCCGGCCCTGGTCGGTTGTGCGGGTGGCAGCCACTCGATGTGTTCCTTTCACATCGATGTTTCTCTCTCTCTCTCTGTTCCTCTCTCTCCCTCCCACTGTACCTGAACAAAAAATGGAAAAATGTCCTCCGGTGAGGATAAAAAAAAAAAAAAAAGAAAGAAAGAAAAATCTTTTATCTTTTGAGACAATATGGAGGGACCTGGAGAGTACTATGCTAAGCAAAATAAACCAGTCAGAGAAAGACAAGTATCACATGATCTCACTTATTTGTGGAATATAATGAACAAAATAAGGTGATGAACAAAACAGATCCAGAGACATAGAAGTAGGGTTCAGACTGACAAACTTCAGAGGAGGGGCAGGGGAAGAGACAATCCAAAGAACTTACGCATATAAACATAACCAATGGACAAAGACAACAGGTAACATTTCTCTAATCCTCTGGAAAGCTACAACGGGAGATAAAACCTTCTTGATTTGCCTTGCTTCATCTCTCCCTGTCCAGAGAGCATTTGTCCAAGACTATTTTCCAAAAAAGAGAAACACACTGGGCAGGTTGATGACCTGGGAGATGGTTAGAAAGGCGTGGGAGCCAAGTGAGAGAAGAAAAGGAGGAAGAATGGACTGGTGAAAAGGTCCGTTCCTGGAGACATCTGCAGATTCAGTTATCAGTTCTTCTTGCCCCCTTCTTACATACAATGGAGACGTCTACAAACAAGTAGGTGGGTGTTTAGGTAAACGTTGAATAAAATGATTTGGTACTTACTAGTATAGCTTGCAAAGTCAGCAGAGTTGTTTGAAATTCTTTTATTAATTGCCTCAGATACAGTCATCTCATTTTGTTTAGAATTTTCTGCAAAAATGTTTACTACTTCTACATCAACAAGCTTGTCACCAGCACGCATTTCGGATCTTGCTAGAGCAGATAATCTAAAAATGAAATGAATTCATCACTTGATGAACTAAACACAAGCATCAACAAATTGGTCTTTGAATTTCCCATACTCCCAAGTCTCCCAGTTCTAATTCTGATGCACAGATATATCCATAATGGGGGGCCCAATAAGGAGGCCTGGGGTTACAATAAGATGGCAGTTTACAGGCCCAGAGATCTCTATTTAATGTGTATTTGGAGGAAACCTATGGCTAAATTAACCCATTGGAGGATACTTAGAAAACTGTGGACAATCATTTTTAGGATCTAGGAGCCTGGAACGAATCAGAAGTAGAACAAGTAACATCTGAAAGAGTAACTTGTTATCTTCTGTAGAAAATCAAAAGTAAGTCACTTGCTGAGCTGTTAAACCTCAGAATTGTACTTTGAGAGAGACAGAGAGGACTGGCGTTCCTCCCTGTGCCCAGAGAGAGCGGTAATCAACCACACAGAGTCTGGGTCACTCCAGCAATGGCCAGGAAGTCAGCAGGCAAAGTGGGCATGTGATTGGGCCTGGGTACACGAGACCCAGAGGAGAACTGAAACAGGACAGATGGGGCTGTGGGAAACATGAGCATATAATACCAAATCATATCACCCAATACTGAGTGTCTGCTAAGAGGAAGACACTGAAAGTTACTCTTTCAGATGTTACTTGTTACTCTCTCTAATCAGCACTGCAGTTGGAGTCCTAACAACAGCTGGGCCAGGTTCTAATTCTGCCATTGTCCCAAAGGAATCAAATGATACAACCACTGAGAAATAAAAGGTCTTTTAAAAACACCCTCCCTGAAAAGGGGACTCTAGTACACTGCTGGCGGGAATGCAGACTGGTGCAGCCACTATGGAAAACACTATGATGTTACCTCAAAAAATTAAATATTGAACTTCCATTTGACCCAGTGATCCCACTTCTGGAAATATACCCTAAGAAGCCTGAAACAACAATCAGAAAGAATGTATGTACCCCCATGTTTGTAGCAGCACTATTTACAATAGGTAAGATCTGGAAACAGCCCAAGTGTTCCATCAGTAGATGAATGATAAAAATGCAGTGGTACATATACACAATGGAAGTACTAGCAAACTATAAGAAAGAAAGATCTCGCCCTGGCCGGTTTGGCTCAGCGGTTAGAGCGTCGGGCCTGCGGTCCGGAGAGACCCGGGTTCGGTTCCGCTAAGGGCACGTACCTCGGTTGCAGTTTGTCCCCGGCCCTGGTTGGGTCGTGCGGGTTGGCAGCCACTCGATGTGTCCCTCACGTCGATGTTTCTCTCTCTCTCCTGTTCCTCTCTCTCCTCTCTCGCTCTATCTGTACAAAATATGGAAAAATATCCTCAGGGAGGATAAAAAAAAAAAAAAAAAAAAAAAAAAGAAAGAAAGATCTCTTATCCTTTGAGACTACATGGAGGGACCTGGAAAGTATTATCCTAAGAAACAAGCCAAACTGAGAAAGACAAGTATCATATGATCTCACTTATTTGTGAAATACAATGAACATAACAGTCTGAGGAATGGGATAGTCTCAGAGATGTAGAAGTCGGGTATAGACTAACAATCCCCAGAAGAGGGAGTGGTGGGGGAGAGATAAACCACAGAACTTGTATGCATGAACAATGGACATGGACAACAAAGCTGGGGACAGGGCGGGGAGGGAAGGAGAGGGGGGAATCAGTGGGGGAAAAAGGAGAAACATCTGTAACAAAAATAAATAAATTAATAAAAAAATAAAAGAGAGAGAGAAAAAAAAAAACACCCTCCCTGCCCAGCCGGTGTAGCTCAGTGGTTGAGCATGAACCCATGCACCAAGAGGTCACCAGTTCGATTCCTGGTCAGGGCACATGCCTGGGTTGTGGGCAAAATCCCCAGTGGGGGCATGCAGGAGGTGGCCAATCGATGTTCTCTCTCATCGATGTTTCTATCTCTCTCCTTCTCCCTTCCTCTTTTGTAAAATCAATAAAAAAATTTTTTTAAACACTCTCCCTATTTTATTTGTGGCTGTGTATTTTTTTTTTTTTTTAATTTTTGTTAGTCCTCACCTGAGAATATTATTTTTCCATTGACTTTTAGATAGAGTGGACAGGAGGGAGGGAGAGAGAGAAAAAAATTCAGTATGAAAGAGACACATCGATTGGTTGCCTCCCGAACGACCTTGACGGGGGCAGGGATCACACCTACAACCCAGGTAGGAGCCCTTGACCAGAATTGACCCTATGACCCTGTGGACAGCAGGCCAACGCTCTAACCGCTGAGCCAAACCAGCCAGGGCATTGCTGTGTATTTTTAAGACTCAGGATATATTTTTCCTGCCCAGTTTTTTCCCTCTACCTCATTATGACTTTTGAATAAATACAGAAGCTCAAAAACATACCCCACCTATTTAGGAAATGTTTACAGCCCTGTTGGTTCTTCAGAACAATCAGCATGATCCAAAACATTAACCAAATTCTGTTGTTAGGAATGCTCTCCTCAACACAGTCCAAAATACCAAATGGCTTCAAATTCTCATTTTAAATGGTCTCCCATGATTCACTTGTGATAGGATTTGGAGGTAGTGGGGCAGGTAGGTGGCAGAAGAGAGGGGTCTTTGACACAAGTTAATCTTTATCAGTTAAAAAATGACCAGAACCCGGCCAGTGTGGCTCAGTGGTTGAGCATCGACCCCATGCACCAAGAGGTCACCAACTCGATTCCCAGTCAGGGCACATGCACAGGTTTTGGGCCCAATCCCCAGTGAGGGGCATGCAGAAGGCAGCCAATCAATGTTCTCTCTCTTCGATATTTCTATCTCTCTCCCCCTCTCCCTTCTTCCCGCTCTAAAATAAATAAAGAAAAAAAATTTTTTTTAAATGACCAAAAATCTATGGCATGCATTCAGAGTGGAGCGAGGAAAGACATGCCATCCATAATTCATTCATTCCAAAATTCTGTTAGCTTACACTCGAATTTAGGAAGCAAGACGTTATGCTCATGAGTTAAAGGAGCCACTGTGGACTTGAGTGACATCAAAAGGTATAGTATAAATGACTAGAGCACTGGACTTGGAGTTAAGACACCTGCGATCTAGACCCAAGACTGACTCAATGTCTTGTGGCCCAAGACCAGTCACAGCTCTCCTGAGCCGAGTTTCCACTTCTGTCCAAAGAGAGATTTGAGAGTTAGAGAAATTCTGAGGATCCTTCAATTCTAATATCTGTACCATAGATAAAGATCTTGGGGATTCAAAGGAAAGAGTATTGCACTGGAGTCTAAGAAATGTCTTCTGCCCTGGCCAGATGGCTCAATTGGTTGCATTAAAAAGTTGTGGGTTCGATTCCCAGTCAGGGCACATACCTAGGTTGTGGGTGCGTAAGGGTGGCAACCAATCAATGTTCCTCTTTCACGCTGATGTTCTTTCTTCTCTCTCTCTCTCTCTCCCTTCCTCTCTTTCTAAGATCAATAAAAAAAACATATCCTTGGGTAAAGATTTTTTTAAAAAGTCTTTCTAGCCCTGGCCGATTTGGCTCAGCGGTTGGAGCATTGCCTGCGGACCAGAGTCCTGGGTTTGGTTCCCACTAGGGGCATGTACCAAAAAATTTATTTATTTTTTATTTTTTATTTTTTTTTATCCTCACCCGAGGACATTTATTGTTCAGGTAGAGTGGGAGGGAGAGAGAGGAAGAGAGAGAGAGAGAAACATCGATGTGAAAGGGACACATTGAGTGGCTGCCACCCACACGACCAACCAGGGCCAGGGACAAACTGCAACCGAGGTACATGCCCTTAGCGGGAACTGAACCCTGGTCTCTCGGGACCGCAGGCCAACGCTCTAACCGCTGAGCCAAACCGGCCAGGGCTGTACCAAAAAATTTTAAAAAAAATAATAAATAAATAAATAAAAAGTCTTTCTAAATAAGACTAAGAAACATTTACCCTGCCACAGCCCCCTGAGGGAAGTAGTTACTGGCCAGGACACTGAGCTCACAGGAACACTGCGGGCTCCCTTTTAGTAGCTCCATAGAAACAGAAGGAACCCCCCAACCCCCGCCAAATGACCTGTGGGACCAGCTCTCCATCACACTTGCAGGGCCCCATGTTCTGGAAGGGAAGTAGATGGAAACTAACATGTTGAAATCATCTATGTGCAAGCACTTTGTGCAGGGGAACTTTCCAATGTCACTTCATTTATTCCTCCCAAGGTTCTAGGAGAGGCGATCAGATTATCTTAGGTATACAGATGAGGTGACCAAAGTTCAGAAAGGTTAAAACAACTGCCCATTCATGCAGCGAGGAAGTGCCAAGGCCAGGATTGGAGCCCAGACTTGGCTGAAGCCATCCCACCTCACTGTTCCTGTGTTATCCAGTCTTGCTCAAAGCATGGACTCCCTCTTTTCCACCAAGTCAAACCAAATGCCCTGAAACAACACCTAGCCCTCCGGCAGCTGTCCGCTGTGAACTTCCAGCTTCAGAGCCTCTGTTCTGGCCCCCCCCCCCCCCCTGCCTGCTGCCTGCCCCTTGCCATGCAGCACTGTGCCTCCCCTTAGTCTGCCTGCTGGTCTCCTGGCTGCCAATCACGCTGGCCCCTCATTCATTATCAGCTCAAAATTCACCAGCTTCAGGGGCCCTCTCTGAATTTTTATGCATTAACATACACTGTATCTTGTTCCACAAAGAATTTGAGGAAGCTCCTAAAGATAGATGCAATAGTAAAACCATAACATATGAATACATTAGGGCTCCTTTTTCTGCTCAGCTTCATTGTCTGAGAGCATACTTTCCTCAGGCTGCAGCACTTGTGTGTGAATGTGCTTCGGAGAAGGCTGAAACAGAACTGCTAACTTCTGGAGAATCCTTTGCCTCTTTGGGTCCTTAAATAGCCCTCCGCACTGGACAATGCCCATTGATATGCTCAAAAAATGCTTGTTTTTACTGCAGGAAGAGCTCACTACTGGTTCTTTAGTAGCCAAGTGTGAGACTTGGGTGTTATCTCCCTTACTCCCTCCATATGAGGAAAGAGATGACCATGAGCCACTCATTCTTTCCTGGCCCCCCTGGAATGCACGTTCTGAGGATTGACCAGGTACAGTTTGTAGCCAAGGAATCAAATCAAATCAAACCGATCCAGGTAATGCTTAGGACCATGTGCGCAAATTGCTGAATAGCCAATCACAGCATCTTGCTGTCTCCAGGCTACAACTTTGCCCATCCACACCAAGGTCAGTGTGACATCAGAATGACTACCTCCTCCTGACTTGTGATTTCCTCCTGACTGTGATTTCTTAGTGTTGCACAGGGAACTCAAGAAATGAGAAATTCAGCAAATGCATACCTGCCTCCAAAGTACTCCATTTGGTCTATAGCAAACTTACCTTAGTTTATAAATCACAGTCTGTCCATAATCATCATTCAAAAACACATCTGCAAACTGTGGAAGAAAAGAACAAATTTTATAACAACTACAGAGTGGGGAGGAGAGTAATACTATATCTAGGTTTTAGCATAAATACTAGGATAAACTCCTGTATATAAATATCACAGCAAATGATTTATTCTTTACTTGATCTCTAACACCTTTCAGTGATTTTTGCTGTAAAATACTAAGAATTTAATACAAGTCAGGGTTATCCAAGAAAAAGATGGAAATCTAAAATAGCCAAATCAATGATCATACTCTTAAAAATTAAGGTGACTAAGTTATTAAGTTTGTCTTTTTAAAATCATGGTAAAACCCAGCCAATGTGGCTCAGTGGATTGAGCGTCATCCCACAGACTGAAGAGTTCCTGGTTCAATCCTGTTCAGGGCACAGGCCTGAGTTGTCTCGATCCCCAGTAGGGGGTGTGCAAGAGGCAGCCAATTGATATTTCTCACATCAATGTTTCTAGCTTTCTCTCCCTTACCCTCTCTCTAAAAAAATCAGTAAAAAAAACAACCCCATATTTAAAGTCATGGTAAAGTTTTGCATATTTGTTAGACTTATCTATATGCCTGCTTCATACATACATTCATCAATTTACCCAAGGCACATGTCTCTAATTGCCTACAAAGCAATTATACCAAGGGACTTAGAAATTACAAAAATGGGCTGACCCTGCCCTTTGATCAAACAGGGGACCACACCATGAGACAGGTAAACGCCACAGAGCAATACGATCTACTGTGGAAGTTCAAGGAAATTCTCTTTCATAAGTTGCATAATTTATTTTGTTTGAACCTCACTCTTCTCATTGAAAAACTTGAGAGAGCAGAGATTCCTGCCATGCAGGTCTCTACTGGGTATGAAATGAGAGGCTTTGTGAGCTGGAAGGTGAATCGTACCAGGCTTGACTTGTGTCCTAAGAACAGAGACAACTTGAGATACGTGTAGAGATGTGGCCAGAGATAAAGCTGCGCCCCCTGGCAGGGATGGGGTGGAGGTGAGTTGAGGGTCCCAGTTAGAACATAAGTTCTTTGATGCCAAGAATGGGGTTTGTTTTCTCTTTCTTACGATACCTTTGCCACCCCTACCCGACAGCACTGAGCACAGGGCAGTCCCTAGGAAAGGCCCAACACTGGTTGACTGATGATTGAATAAATTAAATGTGAAAGACATGACCTTAGACATGTCTTCCCCTGTTTGGGCCCCAGTCTTCATATTTGTTAATGGGTGCTGAACTGGGATGACACAACCTTTTTCTAATCCATGACTTTTTATTACTTTTCTCCCCATGGGGAATCTCACATTTTTAAAAGGTCATGCCAACCAATGTCATTTAAAAAGATGTTAAATAATTTCTCTTTTATTCTAGTCAAATTCAAATAAATCTGATGCTCTAGTTAGGCTGGGCAGCCTTATATCCAGAATATGTCTCCACTCCTTTTAATTCTTTTAAATATTAGGGATAGTCGGTATTTCTACCAGGGTCCTGGGAATCCACTCAGGAACAAGCTCACTGGATGACCCCAGGGTCCCTTTAGCTCTCCCATTGCCCATTTTGTTTTCTTAATCCCAAAAGGAAACATTGCTAGATTAGCATTTGGCATAGGAAAATGTGTTTTTTGTTTTTTTCCCTCTTTCGGGTCGCCCTTTGAGGGTGTTGGAATATACACCTCCAGGTCGGATAAGAAGGCAGCGCTAGCCAAGCAGGCCTGCCTGGGCTCCACTGCCCTAGTCAGCAAGTGTGCAGAGGGCAGATCTGTGGTCAGGCAGGTCTGGGTTCCAGTCCCAACCTCCTCCCTCAGCAACTGGGTCAGTTGCTTCACTTTCCTGATCCATGACTGCCTAATCCACAAAAGAGGCACCACCGTATTCTCTCCCCACGGGGCTATTTTGAGAATTAGAAATATTACACATGAAATGCCAGGTACAGCGCACAACAGGGGAACTCCGAACCAGGGACTATCCATTTGGATTCAGTGGGTTAATAAAACGGATCCTGGGAGACTTCGCAAGGTCTGAGCCAGTACTGCCCCAGTGACCAAGTCTGCTCAGAGGACCGGAAAGAAAGTGAATTGTCTCTATTTTCTGATCTCTAGGAGGTGCAAGGGAGTGCTGGGTCATCCCTTTCGGATGAACAGCCTCTTGGAAATTATAAGCACACACTATCCCGTTCCTGGTCCCCCTGGGACCATCCAGACCTGACTGAGATCAAGTCTCTAAACTGGTCTCTGCAGACCAGGGCACAGGTCTGGAGTTGGAGGGGCATTTTGGTGGCCACAGTGACCAGTGCTTAGTAAAGGCACACAAGAAAAATCAAGGGACTCCCTGGAAATAGGAAGGCGTTGGCCTTGCCTTCTTCAATGTACTGGCTGTCATCCAAGTGGGCCAATGGGGCTGTAGATCCAGAATAAGAAGAGATGGCTTGGGCAGCTGGCCCATCAGGCACAGGTGGTATGACAAAGGGGCCAGGGCGAGCACTGGGCTGTGGCAGCGAGGGTTTTTATCCCAGCGGTGCCAGGCCCTGGCTGTTCCGTCGTGAGCACTCGTTTCCCCTGTACAACCATTTGAATAATCCTTTTTTATATTTTATCAATTCTAATAACAAAACTCTTTTGTAATGATAAACGTAACTCGAAATGGAAAGACATTGTCATAGACCAAGACGTTCGTTTTCAAAGCCTGGCTACGCATTGGGAAGCGCGGGCTGGATGCTCTCTGCAGACCCTTGCAGATCTAACATGCATGGGTCCAGGGGGGCATCTCCTGTGACACAGTCACTCACAATAACCACCATGGAAAGAAGCTATTGTTCACTCTGACATTTTTTTTTTTTAATCCTCACCCAAGGACATTTTTCCATTTTCTTGTTCAGATAGAGTGGGAGGGAGAGAGAGAGAGAGAAAAACATTGACGTGAAAGGGACACATCGAGTGGTTGCCACCCGCACGACCTAACCAGGGCCGGGGACAAATGCAACCGAGGTAGGTGCCCTTAGCGGGAACCAAAGCCGGGTCTCTCTAGACCGCAGGTCGATGCTCTAACCGCTGAGCCAAACTGGCCAGGGCCACTCTGACGTTTTTGACAATGGGGAAAAAAGGAGGGAACAGATGTTACTGTAGATGGAGCTCCTCTGCCGGGCTCTAAAAAAGTCATACCAGTACAGAAATGTATGCAAACTGGAATGTAAAAAGGAAAGAACAAGCAACATCTTTAAAAAGTTTTCTCTTCAATTTTGTGGAAATAATTCATTTTAAAACATCACTATATTTACCTGTTTCATTAAAAGTATTCTAGCCCTGGCCGGTGTGGCTCAGCGGTTAGAGCGTCAGCCTGTGGACCAATGAGTTGCAGGTTCGATTCCGATCAAGAGCAGGTACCTTGGTTGCAATTTGATTCCCGGCCCTGGTCGGGGTCATGCAGGAGGCAACCAGTCAATGTGTACCTCTCACATCAATGTTTCTCTCTTTCTCCCTCTCTCTCCCTCCCACTCTATCTGAACAAAAATGGGAAAATATCCTCAGGTGAGGATTAAAAAATAAATTCTAATAGTTCATGTAATGACAAGCACGGCACAGCTGGAGCACACTTCTAAAGTCCTCCGCTGAGCCAGGTGTTCCTTAGAGAGGGGCATGGTCATGGGGGAGGGGCCTGGGCCGCTGGGAGGCAGTTTACCAACCAGTGAGGGTGATGTCACTATCTGCACAACCACTGGACAGCTCCGTGTTAGAATGAAGAACACTTTACAGGAAGGAAGATTGGAAAATACTTACAAACTTTGTAATTTTCGTATGTAAGTTTTCATAGGCTTTAGACGTTTCATTTTCCAAGCCAGATATTTCTGACATTTTAACTTTAATTGTTCCAGGTAATACCTTTCCTGAAATTCAAGCAGAATCTTGCTGTAATGTTTAATGTAAAGAGGGTCATATTCAATTTGTTTAAAACACACTTTTTAAAAATTTGAAACAGTATATGATGATACCACAGGAAGCCTGGGACTATGCTGGATGTGACCCCACATCCCACCCAACCTAACCGATCATTTTCATTTTGGTACAAGATATCCCCTACTTTCTAAAAGTTCACTTTATGCCACTTCGCTTTGATGGGAAACCCACATTAGGACCTGTTTTCGCTAACCAAAAGAAATCCTAAGAAAATTTTTGCTTTTATGAAAAAAGGTGAAAATTGAAAATAGTGTTCCGCATTTTTGCAGCAGTTTGCCATGGAGGCAGCACACACCCTGGGCAGCGGGAGTGGCCCCGCCAGCTCCTTCCCTGGGAATGACACTCAGCATCCTGGCATCAAGCTGCCATAGCTTTGAACTGTCTGTGAGCATCTGTGCTTTATCTCGATATATTCTGTGCATCGTTAAAAAGATGTGTCCTGCCTGGCCGGTGCGGCTCAGTGGTTGAGCATCGACTCATGCACCAAGAGGTCTCCAGTTTGATTCCTGGTCAGGGCACACGCCCAGGTTGTGAGCTCAGTCCCCAGTGGGGGGCATCCAGGAGGCAGCCAGTTGATGTTCTCCCCCATCGATGTTTCTATCTCTCCCTACTTCTCTGAAATCAATAAAGAAAAGAAAAATTTTTAAAAAAGATGTGTCCTAACATAATTGCTTCTTCATTATATGTCATTTCAGCTTACAAAAGGTTTCATAGTAATACTCTACTTTCAGAGAATGGGGGGAATCTATATTTCTCCCGGCTCCCTTTTTCCTATGCATAGTTTATATCATTATAATTCCTAGTTTATATCATGAATCTTCTGTACTTATTATTAAATAATAAGCATTTTTCCAAATTGTTACCTGGTCTTTATAACTATTATTTTTAAAAAGCTGCATAATATTCTATGAAATATATGTTCCCTTCATTGATGGAGTCATTTTTGTTTTTAGGACTTTTAATTATTTGAAAGGGGGTAGGGAAAAGGTTGCAATGAAAATCTTCATGCCCAAGCCTTTCCATATTTGGGGTCCTTTACTTAGAGAGGATCCCCAGAAATA